GGTGGATCTGGATTCAGCTGCTCTGAACTCTGCAGGATAAAATGATTCGCTCCGCCAGGCAGACGATGTTCCTCCTCCACCTGCTGCTGCTTGTGAGTACGATTCCTCTGGTTCTGCTTTCCGGCTCGTTGCCTCTCAGGTTCTGGTTCTGCTCCGTTTCACCGGATCGTTGTGGGCTGGATGTGGGCCGTTTGGATCAGAACCGGCTGGACTCTGATGGAGCTCACTGAGGAGGCGACGTGCTGGACCAGTCGTAATATTTTAGACTAAAATAAAAATAATATTCATGATTTTAACCAGCAGATTTTTGTTTAAAGGCCCAAAACATCAACATCTGAATATAAAATATTTCTGTAAACCTTTTGGTTTAAAATGGTAGATTATTTTCAAACTCTGCAATAAATTGATAGTTGGACAAAAATCAGATCAAAAGTAAATGAATGTTTTTTTATCTGGTTGGATTATGAAGATTTTGAATAGTTGATGCATCAGAAGCTGAGAAAGAGAAAGTTCAGTGGGTCGGTTCTGTGGGAGACGTTTCAGTTGGTTTTATTGGTCAGTTGGTTGTTTAGTGGATTTCTTTATTGTTTTGCTGATATTTGGTTAATTGGTTTATTAATTGGTTTGTGGTTAGTTTATGTTGACATATTAGTTAGTTGGTTACTTGAACAGTTAGTTGTCGCTCTGTTCCTTGATTGAGTGGTTAGTTGGTTCCTTCCAGTTTTCCCAGTCTGGTTCCAGTTTTCCCATCATGCTGTGTTGGTCCTGCAGCTGAGTGGCCTCTCTCTGGTTGCCATGGGAACCTGGGTGACGGCGGGCGGCGGCCCCTTCCTCCACCTGCTGGCGCCGTTCTCCAACCACCTGCTGCGCTTCGTCAACATCGGCCTCCTCTGCATCGCCATGGGAACCACACTGGTGCTGCTGGGAGCACTGGGAGGATGTGCAGCTCACTGGGAGAGCAAGTGTCTGCTGCTGACTGTGAGTGGGGGGGGTGACCTGGGGTCAGCAGGTCTGAACTTTGACCTCTGATGTCTGCATCCTGCAGCTCTTCTCCATCGTCCTCATCATCTTCATCAGTGAGACGGCAGCTGGAGTCGTGGCTCTGGTCTACTCCTCCTTCGTGAGTTGATTAAAAATATAATAATAATAATAATAGTGCAGGAACCCTGATGAGTTTTAGTAGAACCCAAACAACTAAAACACAAAATATTCTGAGAAATTTGAGTAAAATATGCAACAATGAAAAAGTGACAATTATAATTCTTTAATAATAAACTTTTAATTGATGTTTAAACTCTTTAATAGTTACCAAATGTAAAAAAATTATTCCGAACTTTCACTGTGAACTCTGACCTCCACTGGTCTGATAAATCTGATGAACAAAAATACAAATATGAAAAATGTTAATGTTAAAAATAGAAATAATAATCTGTAAATTCTCAAACAGAGGAGCCGTTTCCCCAAATTATATCGCAATAATATAAATATGTATTTATAAAGTGTAAACAATCATTCTGCAGCGATATAATTTGATTTATGTGTTTCTCCTCTTCCTCAGCTCAGATCTCATTCCACCTCCGATTCCCTCTGGAGCCGAAGCATTTTATATGCAAAGCAGCTCATTTGCATATAACACACACACACACACACACACACACACACACACACACACACACACAGGAAGCCGCGAGGGGGAATCGGGTTTTAAACTCTTAAACAGCAGAACCTTCCAGAACAAAACGAACTGCAAAAACACCAAATCTGACCAAGTCATTTCATCTGGTTTCTAATGTAAATATGATGTTACAGTTCAGATGAGACGAAACGTTTCTGTGGGATCTGGAAGCTTGTTTTCAGTGAGTAATACTTTAATACTGATTATAAAAAGGTTCCAGTTTATCAGTAAAACAAGAACGTTTTCATCCACATTAAGGAATTAAACTTCTGCATCTTGCTGAAAAGTTTCTTGTAAGTTAGTTTTGTCTTATTTGAGATACTGAGATATTTGCACCAGAAACTGGATGAAATACTTGGTGGGATTTTGTGTTTTACAGTGCAGGAGGCCCAGGGGTGTCCAAACTTTTTGTCCTTTGGGCCAAAATCAAAAGAAAAGAAAAAACTAAAATCTAGTAAGTAAAGCTGTCCAGTGTTTTTCTGGCAGAGATATTTAAACCTGTTGTAATAAACAATTAATCACATGATAAATTAAAATCAGCTCAATAATTTTCAGTCTGAATTAATAATTAGTTTTATTTTATTAACTGTGTTTGCTTATTGTGTTTTATTTTGGATATTTGAAATATCTTCCAGTTCCAGAGTCTTTACAAAATGGTGCAGTTATCAGTTTATCACTTAAAAATGATATGCTGATAAACATTTTATCACAATAATTACTGGGATAATTTATCATCCAGTAAAATGTCATCATGACAGGAAAAATCAAATCCAAAACTTGTAGAAGATTTTTGAACATTTGCTGTATTAAAAGAAAAGTTTTTAAATATTTTTTTAAAATTCTGTCCCAGTGTAATGAATAAAATAAAATGATTCCATGTTTTAGTGTCCCAGCATGCACTGGGGCGTCTCCCCCATGCTGCAGGTCTGAGGCACCACAGGATTATTAATCAAATCAGAAAAGCAGAGGAAGAGAAACTGGACAAACAGGAAATGAAACGGAAAGCGAAGCGTCGATAAATATGGAACCGTCAGGCAGAAAAACGACTCGGCGTTTGGATTCATTTCCAGTTTTCCCGTTTCTCTGATTTGTGAGGAGATTTATTTCATTTGGCTGATTAGGAGCAGAAACACGGCCTCCTTAAATCTGCTGTGATTTTCTGCCCACAGAAACAGTTTAGATTTACAAGCTTCTGGTTTTCTGAAGGAAAAATGATATTTTAGGTCAGAACGGAGAGAAACAGCAAAACAGACACAGTGAGAAACAGAAACTTTTCCAACTTGATCCACAGATGGAGATTTAAACAACTTTCAGGGAAACGAGATTCAAGGCTGGAAACACAAATACTGAGAAAAATCACCCAATTTTTACCTGCTACTTTTGGGTCTGTTGCAATAAATCAGTTAATCGCACGATAACTTAGAACGAGATCAATAATTTCCATTCCTGCTGAAAACTGGATGAAGTTTCCAGTCTGGAGTTTTGGTCTCAACCAGAAACTTCATGATTCATTTTATTTATCGTTTCTGTTGTTTTATTTTGAATATTTAAAATTTCTTCCAGTTTCAGTTTTAAATGTTCATTAGAATTAAAATTTTATTGATGTTTGAGAATGTTGAGAATGTTCCTTCATTTTTATTAGCATTACCATTATATTAATTGAAAATGGCCTCAAAACAACAATATTATCGTTTATCACGATAATTTATTGTCCAGAAATGTTTGTTACAGTGACGGCAAACCTGAGGTCAGAGGATTCGCCAGTTCTCTGCTCCGGTTCGGTACCTTTGGTAATCTGCTTCATTGGACGCAGCTCCCTCTGCAGATCTAACAAGTTGAATGTTTTTATTAAACTTTGTGTTTCCAGGCTGAAGGCATCCTCAAGGCGTGGGCGGTTCCCGCGCTGCAGAACGATTACGGCAGCGATCCGACGGTCACTGGGATCTGGAACGCCACCATGGCAGAGGTGAGAGAGACCGGGTAATAAACCTCCAGACTGACCTTCAGACTGACCTTCAGATTCACCTTCCTGCAGTTAAATAACTGAACCAGCATCAGATTAAAGCGTTTATCAGTAATCAGTATTTCTGCGTGTTTCCCGCCAGTTGAAGTGTTGTGGTTTCTCCAACTACACTGACTTCCTGGGGTCAGAGCTGGAGGAGCGGAACGGGACCGGCCTCCCGCCCAGCTGCTGCTCCACCAACATCGCCCCCTGCAGCCCAGCAGAGGCGGCACGCTCACCTGTCCAGGTAAAACCTCCCTACAGACTCACTGACTAAGTGATGCTAATTATTGTCTTTTTTTCTTTATCATTGCAGGTTATTAAATATTGGAAACATAACATGTTTTAGTCTGTAATATCTCATAAGGATGATCTGATGTCTCCTCCTTCAGGGCTGCTTTGATCCCATCCTGAGGACCCTGAGGAAACACACCTGCGCTGTGGGAGGCGTGGCAGCAGCAGTGGGAGTCCTAGAGGTAAAAATACATAACAACCCGAACCACAGGTCATAAAAACCTCAATAAGTGAGTCAGTGTGGCTTTGGCTTGGTTAGGTCAAAGTGGAAAATGGCCACTGGTACGACCTGCTGAGAGCTGATTGGCTCGGTGAGCCTGACCAGTACCACAGGGGGGCACAAGCCTGCTAGTCAGCTAACAGTGGAGCTAATTATTTGCTTAGCATTTTTTGATAACTTTGAAAATGTTTAGCTCACTTAGCTTCGACTAAATTTAATTTTCTGCTTAAATCCTAAACGTTGGTTTATTGGCAGTTTTGTAAACTTTCAGTCGAATAAATTTTGACATTTGACATATTCCACTAAATACCACATTGGCGTAGTGGTTAGCTTTAGCTTCCATTTAATGCTGTGTTGGTGTAGCACTTTAGCTAACATTGGAATTTAGCACACTTAGCTTCCCCTAAATTTATTTTTCTGGATAAATTCTGAAGCACTAATTTACTTTGCTGTTTTGTAAACCTCCTTTGGAATAAAGTTTGATTTGGGTGTAAATTTGGTTATTGGTTCTTTAAAATTCTTTAAGTATTTAGATGTCTATATTCATGCTCTTATTTTGAAGTCTATTTACACAGCAGCTAAGTTTTCCCTCCTCATGCTTTTTATTTTTTAAGCTGTGTTGAGCAAGTTCTTATTATACAACAAGTGAACAACTGAGGAAACATCCAACACTTACATGAACAACCAATCAGGCGTGACTCTGGTTTTCACTGGGCCGTCAGGCAGGAAGTGCTCTGCTCGGTTCATTGGAGGTGAATGACCTGTGACGGAACCAGAACGTAGAGAAAACTTTAGATATGCCCGCTTCCTACAAATGTAATATTTGTGGAGAAATACGTTTTTAGTTCTAACATTTATTCAGTTCCTTATTTAGAAACTGAAGTTTCACGTGAATCTTTCAATGATCTGGTTTCTGCTCGTTTGATTCTCCTGCTCCTCAGATCGCTGCCATGATCATCTCCATGTACCTGTTCTCTCACCTGGATGAGAAAGTCAGCTGAAGTTCCTCCTCCCAGCCTGCAGAGGCAGTAGAACCTGATGCTGTCCTCCTCTTTGCTGCAACATAATTTTTAACACTTCCTGTTGAGGTTTAGCTTGATTTCAATTCAGTAGAGAAGTTTTAAATACATGTATGAACTATAAATATATTTAAATGAATTAACTTTTATTTGGAACTTTTCTTACTCAACATATTTCTGGTTCCTTTTGTTCCATATTTTAAAAGGGAAAGTTCAGGTTTTATGAGTTTCTGTAGAGAAACAGAATTTTTTACGTTCATGTCATTTTGTTGGTCTGCCAACAGCAACACTGTAGTACCAGCCTCCCACCAGTAGGTGACAATAAGTGAAAGAATGACCCTGGAGCAGTACTGATCTCAGTAACAACTCATTTTGTTCTTTTACATCCTGAGCTAAATTTACTCGTTTAATCAGAGCGATGTGGATAAAATCCTAGAAACTTCAGGAGTGATGGCTTCTTCCTCTGATTGGCTGATCAGCTCATGTTGGTTCAGATTCATTTCTCTGATCATTCGACCAGCTTCAGCAGCATCTTCCTGAGGCCTTCAGGGTTCACTGTGGAGTTATTCATATATTTTACAGCTGAACTCTCCTCTTGGATCCGTGTCGCCTTCATGTTGCGAGGCTTTAATCTGATTTACAGTTGAGCAGCGAGCGAGGCGAAACTCTGCTGACGATCAACGACCCTGTGAAGGTCAAAGGTGAAGGACAGGAAGCCGCCAAACCTGCAGAGGAACCAGGACGCCACAGATTTACATCCCATCCACATTCCCTTCATTTGGTTTCCCAGGATGTTCCCGAGGGAAATCAGGACGACGCAGAGAAATCTGAGCTCCTTCAGAATATTCAGCCATAAAAAACGACTTAAAAATGAAAAAAATTTAAAAACATCTTTATTCAGTCAGAGAAATAAAACATCTGAGACGTTCAGCCCAAGACGAGTCACTGAGATGCTTCACGGCAAACTAAAATAGAAAAAACCATAAAGTCAAACATAAAACTGGAGTTCAGTCACACTGCAGATCAGATAAGACTCAAATTTAAACCTGAATAATTTGGGTTTAAACTTACAATGGAGTATTAGGGCCAGGCTAAAACATATTAATTATGACAATGAAGTACAAGAGTGTTGAAAGCTTAAATAATATGAACATTAAGTTTTATGGTATTTTAACTTTTATTCTTGCATTATTATGTCGTTATCATATTAATATGACTATTTTATACTGTTGTGATTTTATTCTGGTAATATTTGGACATTATTTTTTCCTTTCTCAGTCTGGTCCTAAAGCGTCATATAAACTGGAATGAACGCTGCCAACGCTTAATAAACAAACTATCCCAAAAAGGTTTTTCTCCTGAAAACGGATCCGGTCGGATTCTGTTCCTCACATCATTTCACTGGAAAAAATGAGAGGAAATCTGGACTTTTTTACTGCTAAAACCTAATAGAACCTGAACACGTCGTCTGCCTCCATGATGGGCAGGATTTATTTCATTTTGTTTCTAAAAGCTGAGGCTCAGCAGCCGGAACCAACCGGGCTTCATGAGAAAGAACCTGTCATTTCTGCAACGGCCAGCAGGGGGCGGTAGAGTCCTGTTTATGTTGGGTTGTTTTCTGTTTCCATAGGAACGGCCCTCAGCTGATCCTGAAACTGTGCTGAACCAATCAGAAGTTCTGCAGAACCAGATCCAGTCCAGGTTCCAGTTTCAATGAGACTTTTAGCAAAAAATAATCTTGTCTGTCATCGTTTGGATAATTTTGAGGCTTAAAAGTTGTAACATTTAAAAATCCACCAATCAGAACTTTAGTATTAATATAAAAGGTTGAAAACATAAAAAGCTGAAATGTTCAGAGTTCAGTAGTTTCTCCAAACTCGGCGGGTCGGAGGTTCGATTCCTCCTGAGCAGCAGGCTGAGGTTCAAACTCCGTCCTCCAGGATCCAGATTCTGAACGTTAACCCGGTTCAGTGAAAACCTGGCCGGTTCTAATTGTCTAAAAATAGATTTCAGTTCCTCTGAGTTTCTTTCTCTCTCTGAAATGTTAAAATGTTCAGAGCATGAAGAGTTAATATTAATAACCAGTTCTCACTGGAACCGTTCCGTCTCCAGACTGACTTCGTTCTAAGACCCAAAGCTCCAGGAGAGTTTCCTGTCCGGTTCCGGTTCTGGCGGATCAGGCCGGCGTTTGGGTCTACAGCTGCTCCACCGGCGCCCCTTCCTCTTTGGGCGGCGGCTCCAGGTGGATGGGGACGAGGGCGGCCGGTTTCTTCACGCTGCCGAGGAAAAACCAGAAACACCATTCAACCAGTTCCATCTGACCTTTGACCTGTAAATCACTTCCTGTCCAACCAAACAATCTGAATATTAATAACCTCCAGTTGTTTTACTGAACATCATCAGAAATGATGTTTTACTGTTCGGTTGCACCAACCGGCCCGGCCCACCGGTCGCCGTCAGCTGACAAAACTGAATTTCCCAAAGTGAAAGAAGATAAACTAGGTGAGTTCGTCTGAAAGCTCGAATCGTATAAAAATGTAAATAATTGGGGGTTTGAGCACAACCTACATATGGAGCCCTCGATGCGGCTGTCGCAGGTTTGATTCCCGGCCTGGTGACCTCTGCCCCACGTCTTCCCCCTCTCTCACTACTTAACTTTCAAATAAAGGCCACCTGACCCAAAAAACCCTAAAAAATGTACAGAATTTACCAAAGAGAAACTGAAAATTTCAGCCAGGGCGGGCAGAACAGGAGCGTTGCGGCGCAGTGGTTAGCGCGGCGCAGTGGTTAGCGCGGCGCAGTGGTTAGCGCGGCGCAGTGGTTAGCGCGGCGCCCTGCGTATAGAGACTGTGGACTCTTTACCCTCTCTATACCGAAGGACGGTTGGCTGGGCCCAGGCCTCTCTCCTCCGCTCCTCCTGACCCCTTCCTGTCGGACTGCTGTGTCCTTAAACTACCGGAGTAATGTGGGGCAACGCGCCATGATGTCGGGCTTTTTTATCCGTCCAGCTGATCAGCGTCGCTCTGCGTGTTGAAGCTTCTGACCTGGCAGCTCTTATAAAATACTAACATCTGGAAACAAAGTCCAAGCTTCACTCCGAGGGTCTGTAGAGGTGGTCTCTGCACCGTCTGCATGGGGAGTATTAATATTCGCCGTGAATTTAGCTGATAAAGCCTCCAAGTTGTGAAGCGTTTTGCGCTTACGTGAATATGACGTCATCACAACTAAACGACCTTAAAAAATATGGAGTTGTTCAACCCTGTGATGGTCAAACCCACTCCTAACTCTTTCTATGCATAATTGTTTTATACAAACACAACATCTTAGTTTCTATAAAATATTTATCAGTTGATTTGGATGCATTTGTTCTATTTGTTAGCGCGCACATTTAGTTAGCATATGTATTTATATCAACTTAAAGTTAGTGCTGTTTGCTTAGCTCTTGTTTGTCTGAGTTGCCAGACAGAAGATGGCCGGGCTCAGCGGCCCAAATGCTGATTGGGCTGCACCACTAGCTCCTGCTGGCAGGGGGAATTTGTATTTTCTTTGGTTAGATAAGTTTTTGTATTTAAGTAAATACCTGTAATTAAAGTTTAATACTTTTGATTTTCATCTTTGGGTGTTTAGTCAAACGGAGCTGTACTGTTATTTGTCAGTAATTCTGTTTAGTTTCCCCTGTGGTGTCTTACCTGGTCTGATCAGCCGGTGTATAAACCCTGTGAGTCGTTTCTCTGTGAGGTCAGTTACGTTTGTTTGTGCAGCCAGATTGTTTGCATTTTTCCTGAGTTCAGTTTTGTGTCTTTGACCTCTTTTATGAGTTCAGGTCTTTTTTGTCATATAATACTTTGGGTTAAAATAATAATAAAAAAACTTTTTATTCTAATATTTCCTGTGACTCCTGTTTTCAACTCGGTCCATTACAAACTGCATGGACTTTATTTTAGCTTTTAAACTAAAATAAAAATGACAAATTGTTGGATTTCATGACTTTTTAATAATTTATAAAACATTTTTTTCACAGCAGCTTTCAAAAGCTGGAAAATCTGCCAATTCCTCCAACTCATATTTAAACTTTTCTGTGAAGAGAGGGAGGTTAAATGTCTTCTCTTTATTAAACTAGGGGGCGCTGCTACTGCTATTTTTGTTTGTAGGACAGGATGCAGTAAACCAGCAGCATGATCAGCTGATCTGTTCTGGGATCAGGTCTGAATCCTGTTATTCAGTTCCATCTTTATGCCGATGATACTGTGATGTACTTATGAGAATACCCAGAATTCAATCAGTCACAGCTTGAATTTTTTATATTTTTTCTGTTTGGTGCAAAAAATACGACAGAGGTTAATAAAAAAAACTGTAAAGCTAAAATAGTATAGAATAAAGCCATATGGTACAACTTTACTCTCATATTCTCGTTTAATGACCAAACAATGGAGGCTGAAGGAGTTCAAACTGCTTTTTCTCTCCTGATGTTGGCATTAATACGAAGAGCAGAGTTTGGTATTCCCTTCCCAGCCCAAGAATTACTTACGAGTACGGAGAGATCGGCACGGCAATGACCAGGATGTGGTTCCTTTTCCTGAAGAGCCGCCAGAGTCCTCGGTGATATCCTCGAACATCCAGGTCCCAAACATGGAGGCACTGATGGAAAACAGGGAAACGCCACGTCAGTCAGGGGAAACCTTCCACCTCCTGGCCCGGAGGACGAAGAGCGTGTACCTTGGCCAGCTCGGTCCAGGTGGACGTGTCCAGCTCAGTCTCCATCTTTATGAACATGATGTAAGTCTTGCCGTCCGTGTCCGGGACGAATGAGTCCTCACAGGGATTCCTGGAGTGATCCAGCAGCTCCGCTTCCCTGGATCAGGGACAAACGCATCCGGAACACCGTGGGAAACTTTAAACAGATGTCACAACCTGAGCAAGATCCTTGGTTCTGCAGCGACTCTCACCTCAACAGCTTCTGGATCTCCGCCTCATATGCGTCTTTCCTCAAACTGGGAAGCAGAGAAACAAGAAAAACGGTCAGAGAGTTAACAAAGATCCAGAAAACAGCTCCCGGCTGCTGAACGCACCTCTCCACGTTCCTCAGCTGGACGTTGGGAATCGTGTTAAACTTGTGCTTCTTGAAATAAACTTCCTGTGAAGAGAAAAAGAAGAAAACTGGATCCATAAAGTCATCTGGAAATCTCTGAACTTCAGTCTGTTTGCTGTTAAATCAGGTTATTAGTTTATGTCCAAAGTCTGATAAAAACTCGTATCAAGTTCATTTCTACCCAACTTGAAACTCCTAGATCCCTTGAGTCAAACATGTTTCTGTTTTATCCAAAGTCACACATTCAAACAAGGACTAAGCAATGCAGCTAATATCAAAGCTAACAATGAGCTACGTAGCAGGAAGACCAGTAGTCTGGTTCTGTCAGAGGAGACAGAGGGAAGTAAGGTTAGAAAAACTTTCCTAAAAAAAATCTAAAACTCACTGATTTATGTTTGTGACTTAAATTAAAACATCTGATTGTTTATACGTTTATGGTCAGAGAGGGTTAAAACTAGCTTAAATTAATGTGTGTGTGTGTATATATACTTGTTTATGTATCTTCTGGGACCTTTTATTCTTGACATGCATTGTGAGGACAGATAAGGTCCCAGTATGGTAGAAATACAAACTTGTGTGTGAGATGTTTCTGTGAAAGCAATCCTTGGGTTCTTACGTGGAAATATCCGTTCATATTGAGGCCAATGATGCCAAAGTGGTAGGAGCGCGACACGTCGGGAATGATGCACTCTCGGCCTTTCCTCTGCTCCGGCATCCTCATCCACATGTCCCAATCCCAGAGCTACAGAGCCAGAAGAAAAATAGACGTTTTCTATCAAATCCAGCTTAAAAAATGGCGTATTGATCGTTTCTCTCTAAAATCTTTTTAAATCTATTTCTCTAAAATTTACTCTAGACTTGAAGAAAGCTGCCAGATTTGATTTAGTAATACATTTACATTCAGGTTCAGTTTTTAAATATCTCTTCTCTGATTTGTAGATTTAACTGGACATTTATTGCATGGTTTATCATTTATTGTGATAAATTTCTAATCAGATTTGATCTTATTCTTGTCACAATAAATTCTAATTAATGATTTTAATAATAACCTAAAACTCTGTTGTCAAGATTATTATTTAAAAAATTTTCCTCCACTGTTCAATAACAGTGCATCAATAAACAATAATACATTTGAAAGTAAGATTAAATGCAGCTACTGTTTGAAGCTTAGCGATAAAAATTACATTTCTATATCTGACTGTCCTAAGAAATACAATACGAATGGAAATGTTTTTCAGGAGGAATGTTTGTGTTGCTATGATTCAGTCATACAATAAGGAATAATTATTATAAATATCATTTTTATCATTATCACAATGTTACAACAAAATATCATGTTAAATCTTTAAGTCCGTATCACTCATCCCTAAAACTGAATATTTTCACATCCGTCAGTTCATTATTCTGTCTTGATGTTTGTGACCTTTTCGGGGGTCGGCCATTTTGGCTCCAGCTCATCCTTGTAGATGCTCTTCTTCAGCACCCAGCCCAGGCCAGGCATGCTCTCCACCCGGTAGAGGAGGGCGGGGTCCTCCGCTGTGTGCTCATAGCCCTGCTCACAAACCAAACAAAGGTTTAACACACCTGGACTCCAGGTAATGACACACAGAGACTCAAAGAGGAACGGCAAAAGCAAAGGAGGTAGATCAGCAGTGACTGAGTCATCCAAGACATTTTACTGTGAAATATTGGATAGTGAGCCATTAGCATGTCATTCTGGTCATGAGGTTGTTATAAAGCAACAGACTCCAGTTAGAGGCCTTTTCAGATTTGTTGTGAGACTGTCTGCTACTGGAGATCCTTCATGCCCACAGTGAGCTCCTGGAACTGAACACCTGGAACTGAACACCTGGAACTGAACACCTGGAACACGGACTGTCGGGACTGACCTGGTCGTTCCAGGCTGAGATGCAGTACAGGCTGTCGTCCTGGTCCAACAGGTGGATGGTCTGACTCAGGAAGCTGTCAGGAAACGGAACGGGTCACAGGGGGACACGGGTCAGACGGGGTGGGACACGGGTCAGACGGGGTGGGACACGGGTCAGATGGGGTGGGATACAAAAGTCTTACACATAATATGATTAAATAGTTCTGCCACAATAAGATACAAGATATGCGATTAATGGCCGCATATCGATTAATTAAGGCCAATTTACCAATGAATTAATGATTTTTTAGGCCAATTAATTCAAGACATTTCAAGACCTTAATTTTAAGTAGATTAATGCAAGACTTATTAAGGATGGCGGACATCGTGTACAGAACACTATGAAGACGTTAGAGCATGACTTAAACATCTGCCTGACAGAAAACTCATGCAGAAGTAGTTCTGCAAGGACTAAAATCAAGACCTTCGAATGACATACCAACTAGAGATTTTACATTAAATTAAGACATTTAAAGGTGTTGATGTTAGATACACGAGTTCAAGACATTTGAAGAATTTTTCAAGATGAGTGGACATCCTGAAATAGGGGTTAGGGTTTATGTGTTTACAGTGGAAAGTGAACCTCGGTCTATCCCCTCCCATCTCAGTTTAGCCACGCCCATCTCAGTTTAGCCACGCCCATCTCAGTTTAGCCACGCCCATCCTACCATCCACTCTGCAGTTTCAGATTTATATGTTCTGTTTCTGTAACTCTGGTCTTTCTGAAAACCTGAAGAGCAAATGTGAAGCAGGAGACGACGCATGTTTCTGCAGCCACCGCCACCTAGTGGCCACGCTCCAGAATGTTTACAGGAAACCCGGTTGGGTTTACGCCAGAGTTCAGCTGAACAGAACCTGAAAAAGTCCACAGAGATGTCCAGGTCCTCCTCCAGAACCACGGCAAACCCGGCATCCTGTCCAAACACAGAGAAGGTTCTGTCATGAGACCGGACCCGGTCAGAACCATGATGGCACGTCGATGCGGAGACTCACAGGGTGAAGGTTAAAGGTCGCCGTCAGACTCGCCTTGTAGTGCTGAAACAACAGGAAACCAGCCGGTCACAGCAATGTGCAAAGATTCAAGAACCTTTCAAGCATTTTCAAGGTCAGTTTGAAACTTTTCCAAACTTTGGAGTTTAAGACAAAAACGATCTGAAAAAGTTTAAATTCAAAGTTATATGATATTTATTACTTCCTGTCTAACTGGGAGCTCTGATCTAACTGGGAGCTCTGGTTACCTGGGAGACGCGGGCGTTCTTGATGCTGATGGGCGTGTGCTGGACGCCCTTCAACCCGAACAGCTCCACCACGTCCATGGGCTCCTGCAGCAGACACACAGCGGTTAGAGAGAGGCTCTGGCCTGGCGGTGGCAGCATCATGAAGCCGAGCGTCCGAACCTCGTAGTATCCATCGATGAAGACGGTGATCACCTGGGGGTTGACTCCATGAGCCGAGAGCAGCGAGCGCAGCATCCTGCAAGCAGACAGGAAGCTCCAGTTATACCCTTCAAAATAAAAGCTCTGATTTTCTTTATACCAGATCTTTTTTTGGCCTGCAGTGACTGGAACCGGGTCAAACCGGTTCTGAAGCTGCGTCTCACCGGTACAGGTAGTTGGGTCGGTTCCCAGCGATGACGGCCACTGGGACATTGAAGACGTTGTTACTGGGAAGCTGCAAGCAGAGACCAGATTTAACTGGTTTAACTGGAAGCCAGCAGACATTTAACTGGATCAACCGGATCAGATGTAACAGAAGTAACACCAGTCTGAGTGCTACAGAACGCTGCAGGTTCAGGTTTCAGCCAGCAAGGGGCGGCGACGCGCCACTGAACATGATTTAAACTAACATTTTTCTGGATCTGAGGCAGGTTCTGGTTCTGTGATCAGTGTGGCGACTCACCGGATCGGGGTTGAACTCAATGGGCGCCGGGTCTTTGCAGCTGCAGATGCTGCCGTATCCCTCCACCTTGCTGCAGAACAGCTTCCTCCTCCGGTTGAGCTCTGTGTCGGCCCAGTGGCACTCGGCCTCTGCAGGACCACAGACATGTTAGAGACACCAGGACGCTGATAGAGATTTTTGGTATTATCATTTTGTTATTACTTTCAGTCTAATGTTATTGTGAAAGTGTTTCTTCCTTATGTGTGTATAAACTGACCTGGAGGTTACGACTGCCTTTTGGTATTATCATTTTGTTATTAATTTAGTTCATATTCAGTCTAATGTTAATCAGTATTATTGTGATTTTTAGTTTAAAGTGTTCTCTTATGTGTGTATAAACTGACCTGGAGGTTACGACTGACTGTTTCATCTTCATGTGAGACAGTTAACTCTGTGTTTCCCAGACCTTAATTCTTATCAACCAGAATACCTCCTAACTGCCTGTGAGCAGTCGTATTTTGTCTCTTGTTTATCCTCCCTCTTTGTTGACAGTTTAACCTAGAGCTGAACTGGGCTCAGATCGTAGATCAGATATCACACCTGGAACTGAGTTGCTGGTTTGTTTAGGTTAGAAGTTTTACGACCTCTGTTGTTTTTTTCTGGCTGTTCTGCTTTGACAATAAAACAGGGGCTCGCGTGGAAGGAGATCAGAATTCTCTGTGAACGGCTGATGAGGTTGTTGATGGAGAGTTCTCCTTTTGCAAAAGCTTTGTCTATAAAATTCATATACGTTGTCTGTGGTCTTTTATATAGGTTCGAGAAAAAGTACCTATCAGACGCTTTCTGCAGGTCGGCTGGGAACAGATCCAGCAGAGTCTGGCTGCAAACGTCAGCTGCGTTCTCACAGATTGTTTCTTTTGGGTCTCATTTCTCTGCTGTGTGAGCGTAGCAGCTAACAGCTAGCAGCTAACAGCTAGCAGCTAACAGCTAACAGATTTCATCAGCTGAGCTACTAAAAAATACTCGACCAATAGGAGGAGAGGATCAGTTTAACTTAGAGAATAAAATGTCAGAATCTGAAAGAACGCCCAAACAATTTACAGTGGAGACGATCAAGTGACGACATTCCCCCTCTGCTTCCACTCAACATCCTGCAATGATGCATCGCTGTCACAGGACCAACCAAAGGTCACAGGAGCAGGACCAACCAAAGGACACGGGACCAACCAAAGGTCACGGGACCAACCAAAGGACACGGGACCAACCAAAGGACACGGGACCAACCAAAGGACACGGGATCAACCAAAGGACACGGGAGCAGGACCAACCAAAGGACACAGGAGCAGGACCAACCAAAGGTCACGGGACCAACCAAAGGTCACGGGACCAACCAAAGGTCACAGGACCAACCAGAGGTCACTGGACCCCTCCTAAACTCCATAGACCCCTCCAGAAACAAAAACAAAAACCAGCTAGAAATGAACATTTCTTAAGATGGGTCCGGTTTTATGGGACTGTTTCGATATTTTGCATCTCTACTTTAGAAACATGAGGATGTTTTGCATCTCAGATACCTTCAGCGGCGGTGAGCTGGACCTCGGTCTTCAGCAGAACCGGGTCGCCCCATGTGGACAGAGCCGGAGACTTGGAGTGCTTCTCTCCATATACCTGACCTGGAAACACGGAGCAAACATTCCTGACCCAAACGCCGATTTCAAAAACTCAGTTTTTGATAGAAAGTTTGGCGCCAGGATGACATTTTTTTTTGGCCATATCAAAATTAGTTAATCTGCAATGGAAACAATTTTTTCACATCATGACTCATGAGCAACAGCCGGATGTTTCTACTGGTAGAAACCACAAAGAAGACGACGACAGGAAGCATCTGGAGGACGGTGGAGCTGCATATTTTAATGACTTATTTCATGAACAAACATATCCATGTGTGCTTTTAATTGCTTTTCTTCTTTAGTGCAAACACAGCAATTATGAAATTAGCAAAATATGAAAAGTTATTAAGTTTTGGACACTTTTGTGCTGTAAATGCAGCTCCTGCCTGAAGTTGAATCAAATCAAACTGTTCTTGTTTCAGGTCGGTCAGAATCATCAAAGTTATTTATATTTGCTAAAACCCAGAAAACGTAGTGAGAACATTTCTTAGACCTTTTTGGAATTTGGCACTTATAAAGGATAATTGTCTTTTAAAAAAGAATAAATGTTGCTGCCAATATGAAGTTGAGTTTATTTAATAAGAACATAATAATCAATATTAAAACCATTTTAGCTCATTTTATTGGATCATTTAACTGAGTTTATTGCTTGTTTTGCTGCTGTTTGTAATTTTGTTTGTTTTCTCAAATTTCTTCTGTAAATGAGATCCTGGATGAATAAAAGTCAAATAAAAATATTTTCAAATTTCTGTCCCTAAAATAAACCCTGACCATAAAATGTCAGTTTTCACAGAAGAAAAAAAAAAGGAATTTGATGGTTAAAAATCTGAATATTGGTGTATATTTAACAGATTGGGCTCCAGAACCAGAACCAGAACAGTCTGACCTCCTTTCTTCACCACCAGGGTCCACATGTCCCTCCAGCTCAGGCCCAGTGCCGCCTGGCTGCCCAGGCTCTTCAGCAGGTTCTTGGCTGCGTCCTTCAGGTGGAACGTTCCCTCGTCCTGTCCGACAGAACAGGCCCGGTCAGCAGAACCACACAAAGACATCCCGCCCGCCCCGACGGACACGCCCACCTTGACAGTGAAGATGAGGATCCGGCCGCGGGTCACCATGTTGAGGAAGAGGATCATGGCTTCATCCTCGTGGGGGGAGTAAGTGTCGAAGATCCGCTTGGCCATCACATGACCCTGGAACGGGAGAACGGACCAATCAGAAGCGGCCGGTGGGTGTTAGCGGCAGACGTGCCCGGCGGCGCTCACAGTGGCCTGGTTGAGGACGATGACGTGAACGCCTCGGCCCTGCTCCCGCACGTCGTCCTCCAGAACCTGCAGCGGGTCGGGAGGCCCGTTAACGGGGCGGCACCAGAGAGTCCAGGCAGCAGTAACAATGTTACCTTCAGCTATAAACAAAACAAACTTTGCTTCCTGATTTAATGTCCGTCTCTTCAAAACCTCCTGCTGTTTCTGAAGCTCCGCCTCCAGGAAGTCGTCCCAACATGGCTCCTCTATTAACCCTTTAATGTTTTACCATCGCTGCTCTGAGCAGCAGCTCCTGTAATGAGCTCAGCAGCTGTTTGCTAATTGCTATTGGCTAGTCTGAAGGAGCAATCCAGAGCTCAGCCACTAGGGGGCAGCATCTGCTCTCATTCTGTCTGCAATAATCCACCTTAGACAGATTATAATCTCCAGAACCTCACGCCTCAGTTGGTTCTGGTTGCTTTACCAGAACCCGTGGATCCATTAGAGCAGGAGAACCCAGCAGAACCATAAATCATCCTGTGCAGCAGAGACATTAGAACTCTGAGCCAAACGGGAACCAGAACCAGACTGAGCCGTGGTTCTGAAGCTCCGGCGGGTCGCTCACCGTGGTTCCGTCCACAGCCACATAGACCTTGGAGCGGCTGGAGTAAACCTCGATGTCCAGAACCTTCCTGCCGCTGGCCGGCCGGCGAGGAGTCTCCATGTTGGGAACAACGTCTTCCACAAAAAGTCAGAAAAATTTAAATAAATAAGACAAACCGGGCAAAACCTCTGCTTCACTATGACTGGAGGAGCCAATTTAACAATCTGTTGGTTAAAATCTTTATTACTGTTGGTTAGTTTGGCTGCTTTCATAATTATCTGTAGTAAATATTCCTGATGATGCAAAACCAGATCCTCAGTAATGAACCAGAAGCCGTTTGCTGACCGTATTCCTGATCGGCAGCGTCTTCATCAGCGACTCGCCGCGTGTCCAGGATCAGCTTGATGTTCACCACAACGGTGACGAAGAGGAACAGCACGGCGCCGGCCTGGGGAGCAAACACACGGGCCCATCCGTCAGCCGGACCGGAACCGAGTCCAGATGATCTGGACCGGAGCCGAGTCCAGATCATCTGGACCGGACTGGAGCCGAGTCCAGCTCATCTGGACCGGACTGGAGCCGAGTCCAGCTCATCTGGACCGGACCGGAACCAAGTCCAGCTCATCTGGACCGGACCGGAGCCGAGTCCAGAACCAGAGCCGAGTCCGGAACACGCCAACCATGGACAAACTACAGTCGGAGTTTTAACACATTAATTTAAATTTATTTATTACAGATTTTAATGAGATTACTTGATTACTATTTTTTATTAATACATATAAAAGTTCCAGCCGGAACCTTTAAATTTGTGAGTTTCTGGTACGCCCGTAAATTTGACACACCAGCTACATTTGCTAACAACATTGAGGAAGCGTCTTCTCTCAGCCAGTTGGGTTTTAATTTCGGCTTTGAAACAATCTGATTGGATCCTGGAAACGACTACTGTGGTGTTCAAGTTGTGCTAACAGAAGTTAGCATGTCAGAGAAGCTAATCAAGCCTAAAATAGTATCTGAATGCTAAACATGTAGCAGTAATGTTCATGTCAGCGTCCACATTTCTAAAGAAGCTCCATGAATGATCAGGGCCTCACAAAACACTTTGTCCAATCTGCTGGCTGAAGATCAGAATATAAGATTAAAACTATAAACATCTTTGTTGTTGAACTCATGTCTGTTTATTTAATAATTTAGCAGCAAAAATGTTTATTTTATTCAAAATGTTGCTTATTTTACATATAATTCTTGATTAAATGTGATTAATTACAGCCCATGAAATTAACACAAAAACATTTGAGTGCTTCCATTAGTTTTAACTAAAAGCCGACACACACCTTGAATTTATGGTGAAGTGAGACCTCTTGTTTCTACACCAGCTTTGTCCTAATTTTATTTATCTGCTCAGCTTGTTTTGCTAATTTCATGTCAAGAAGATATTAATCAAGTTTTATTTTATTCTTTAAAATATCTGACTAAATAGAACTTTATTCATTTCTACATATTAACTCAGATGTTATCATTAGTTACTTTTACGTTTTTCACTTTTCAGAAACATGATGAAGTAATAATAACGGTGATGACAGCAGAACTCTAACTGGACCTCTGGCTGTCATCATTCTCCCGCAAGTTTAGGATTTTTATTAATTTTGAACAGAACCAGAACTCCAACTCTTTTAAAAGTAACCGAACCTGAGTCAGAACTCAGAACCGGAGGGTTGGACTCAGATCTGGACTTTAAACCAGCAGCAGAGAGCAGAGCTGTGGTTCTGCAGATCCCTCCAAACATCCTTCATGGTGACCCAAGGAGATCCTCCCTGCAGAACCAGAACCGGGCTGACCTGACAGAACCGCCGGAGGCTCCTCCTCTGGGTCAGCCGGTACTTCCAGGTCAGGTACCAGCTTCTCTGCTGCCGCGGGATGAACGGCTTGGCCCGGGGGTTCGGGGTCCAGGTCTCCATCACCTCAGAACCACAACAGCACCCCAAACTGACCCACTTAGGGCCCACAGTCACATGGTCACCTGGAGACAGAAGGTCACGGAGAAAGTTTAGCTAACGGCGGTACCGCTGCCGGTTCGGTTCGGATTAAAGCTGCTGGTAAACTCACAGGTTCCTCCCAGAGGCTGGTTCTGTTCGCTTCATGTTCGAGTCAGAACAAAGATTTAGCAGAACCCGCTGAAAGCCGCAGCTACATGATGCTACCTGATGCTACCTGTGGCGCTGCGCTCCAGCCTCTGTTTACTTCCGGTGGGCTGCTGCTCTGCTGCCCCCTGCTGGCTGCAGATACTAAGTCCAGTTTATCTGAGCAGCACAAGGCAGTTCAAAGTGACAGTCAGCAGTTATTAAACAAGCAATAAACATTATATCTTGTCAAATGACATCATCAAAGTCATCAAGTAAATATACATCAAGTATGTTTAGTATTAAATGAAACCTTGATAATCAATATATTTTTATTTTTCGTTCTTTTTTATTCTTCTTGTTTTGTCTGTTTATGGACCATAATTTTGTCTAAATAAAGAGATAGGTAGATTGATTGATTGATTGATTGATTGAT